TATCTGCATAATATTCTTACTCATCTTTATTATATATCTATTTAAAAGAACTCAATTAATAATATTTAATAGGAAAATTCATGAAAGAAAATAATAAAATCTTCACATATAATTATTTATACCTTCTCAGTATTTATTAATTTATACAATTATTATTAGATTAATAATTCAAGATGAATATTAATTATCAAATTATGCAAATAATATGGCATAAAGAAGATTATATGGTCATGTGTATTTGAAAATGGAGAAGTCATTTCATATAGATTGGAATACTTCAAATTTATTATCAAGAAAAGTATATGAAGCTTGAGAGTTTGTTGGATGATGAAGATTTTATCAAAAATTGCAAAGCATGACTCTGACAATAAGAATCAGAAGTATGTTCTTTGAGAAACTTAAAAGTATATATTAAAGACATATTATTTCTGAAATTAATGGATTATATCAAGAAAGATATCATCTTTGAGAAAATATATCAGAATTATATATATTCTTGGGAATATAAATATAATAAGAAAAGAAAGAGTATTTATTATAATAGGCATAAGTAATCTAACATGATGATATATAGAAAAGAATAATTAAAGCAAATATTTATATACAAGAAAAGTATGAAGAATTTTAATGATAATGCATTGAATACTATAATAGAACTCCAGCTTAAGCCAGAAAAAAAGGAGTTTATTTAAGTAACACATAATAAATATCACTTCTATCTAAATAATAGTTAACAGAGAATCTGAATTCAAGAAGAAGAGAATATTCTATACTCAAAATACTTGGAATATTCTATTATAATTTCAGCTTTTTTATATTCATATCATGGTTTATTATGACTATTTGAGTAGTAATTACAAGTCAATTCACATATTAAACATCAAGAATCTTTTGTTCTTTACTCTATTTAAGAAGATAAATACTGAAAGTTGGAGCATATATTAGATCAGATTTGAACTTTTTTTATTTTTCAGATTTTAAGCTAAAAACTAATTATTTTTATAAATAAAGCTTGTGTGTCAAGTAATACTAATATTTAAGATACTACATCCTGAATTTATTAGTATTTTTTATTTTGATCAATTCATTAATCATAATATTATGATAATAGATATACTAATCATAATGAAAATAAATTTAAGTCCTGAAGATACATAATCTAAAATACATAATAGTTGGTATGTTGATGAAAATGAAGAAAGATATATATAATCAATACTATTTTCTAATTATTATCTGATTAAAAAACTAAAAGATTAATTCAAAGATATTAAGTAAGTACTTATAGAATGTAATCTTTGGCTATCAAAGAAAGTTTATTTGGTATGTAAGAAATGCTTAGAGAAATATAATGATCTGATAAGGTTAAATTATTATGTACAAAAAATTTTGTCATTTCAGCTTAATTTTCATGAATAATAATCAATATTGCATAAAGTGATTATGAATATGGGATATGTTTTCAAATATTATCCAAAATTTTATTGTAAATATAATTTTATAGAGCGATACTGAGAATTTTTAAAGTAAGAAACCAGATATCTATGTAACTATAATTATACATGCTTATTGAATCAGATTTCTAAAGTTTTTAATAGCATGCTTATAATCACAGTTCACAAATTCATATATAAGTTATAGAAATATATGAATATATGTAATAAAGAGTTGGAGAGTAGAGTTATCAAGTGGGCTGTAAGTAAATTTAAATCACATAAATGATTATCAGAAAATATTGAGAGAATAATAAAAATTAAGTATAGGGAAGTAAATATAGGAAAAGAAGAAAATGAATAAATATTAATCATTTATAATAGTGAAGCAAACATGGAGAGAAAAGATAATGAATAAATATTAATAGTGATGCCTTATTATTATGATGCATCAATTGCATAATGATTAAATTAAACTTATCATTAAAATGTAAATTAGCATATCACGTGTATATATGTTTCACATGATATGCTGATTTACATTGAATGCAGCAATTTGAAATAAAATTTTGAGATAAGACTTCTGGTATCATAGTAATATTTTAATCTATTTATATAGAATATTAAATTGAATCATATTATTCTAACCAGAGTTAACTATATATATCTCTTATTATATAAATGTTTTTAATTTTTAACTTAAATAAAACTGGAATTCTTTATTTTAATTATATATCTTTTTTAAAAAAGTCTGTTCCAATTACATATAAGTCAATCAATTTGCAACAAATAGCTTTGGTTAATAAATAACTATATAAATAGTATTATTCATGGAAAACATATGTTCTCAATTTTTTCAATGTTCTTGAGAACATTAGACTCCCAACATTGGAGATAATCCAGGTAAATCTTGATATTGGAGATATAACTCAGGCATGACTGTATAACAAATCTGACTAAAAGAATGGCAAAACAGATAACGTCAAAATTCCCAATACAACAACACAGACAATTCTTTCAACACGGATTCCGACATCACTGCTTCTTCTACCATTCGACGACAAAGTACCATTCGCTTCATTTGATGAACTAGCATCACCAAAATTTGAACAATTAGTTGCGGTCAAATTATTCTTCAAATTATCTACCACCGAAAACAGAGACGCATATTTCGAGTCTACAGGATTCTTGCTCACATAATCAATATAAATATTGGCGACTTTTTTGTAGTCGTCGTTGCACAGAATCTCTGCCGGGACTTTTACTGTGCTGCCGGTATTGTTAGGATTGGAGTACGAGATATCGATTTTAGGCTGCGGTGGGAATCCGTAGACTCGAATGTATAGTGTGGAATCGTTTTTTGAAAAGTTTTTATTGATATAATCGAATTCTAGATTGCCTATTTGTTTCCATGCGTATCCTGCACAAATAATTATAAAACAATATTCAAACATGGTAAAAATAATCTATTAATTCAGATTTTATACATACCTTCCACTGAGCTTTGCATACACAGATTCGTATAATGAGGCGACGCGAAATAATAATCAAGAAAATACTGTTTCACCAAATTATTAGAACTCAATTCTGTCGCACAGTCGTTCAATATTTGTTTATAACCTTTAACTGAAGTTGAATTATCACAAGGATTTGAGGATGAACAAAATTTTTTAATTTCGTCGTTGAGAAAAGTGTAATTAGAGTCCGCGGTGGTTTTGAATCCGAATTGGTCACCAGTAAATTTGCTGTTTGATGATTCTTCATCTTGCGATATCTGTGCGTACAGTCTGGCGTAATGTTGACAGGTTAGAGGTGATCTTGTGTCGTTTTGCAGGGAGTTTACGGTAAGTGAACTTAATGTGCTTAAACATTGTGTGCATTGGCTACCACCGTTTCCGCCAGTTCCATTATTTCCAACAACAATTCCATATCTGTTAAATAAATTCGAACAATCTGCTGATGTTGATGAAATGATGTAAACTGTTATTAATATTATACGAGTTAGCATAGAAATGCAAAGATTATTATTTTTTGACTCCATCATTTTCAAAGAACACAAGGCTTAAATGGCACAAAAGAAATTTTTAAAGAAAAATCTATCTTATTGTAGGGCGTTTAAATAATTCTCCATATAATGAACAATGAAAATTGCCAAATCCTAATTTACAAAGAACATGTACATGCTTAAAACGAATTCTCTATGAGAATTAGATGCGTGGCGGAGAATGAACTATGATATTTCGTTATTAGGGCAATAGATTCACAAATATAGTGCATGTCGAATCGATCGTTAACGTTAAAATATCGAGCAATTTATAAAAATTTTATACATATACAGTAAGTATCGCCCAATGGAAAATTAAAAATAAAAATTTAGCTTTAGATCATTTTTCAATTTATTTGATTTACACCAAATAAAAAATAAAATTTATTTAATATTTAATTGGCCCTCCATTTGACTCCAATACTGCATTAATTCTTCG